CTGGGTCTACACTCTGTGATTTGCACTGCTGTTTTATTTGTCAACAGGGCTTGGTTGGGGCGGAGTTTGTAGGGCGCCACCACCCCCTCCGAGCTCCGGCTGCGACCGCCAGAGTAATATATTGACCAACCTGCATTCTCAGAAAAAAAAAAACACTCGAAACACTGCTGTCAAACAAATCGGCTACTGAAAATGGAAAGATTTATTGCCGCCCTCGACACCCCCCCTTCGCGCAGGACACCAACACGGCAGTTAGCGTTTTGTCCAACTACATGCTAGCGCATATGGTCCAGGTGGCCATGACATTGATCCAGCTGTACGCCCAGCAGCTCAACGTGGTCGACCGGAAGGATGCACTGGCCATCGCAGCAGAGGTTGGACGGAGGAGTGTTCCAACAGTACAACTGTGGGAGCGGGATTTCATCGCGCGCGGACGCATCAAGCCACCTGACACAGGTCGCTTCAAGCGCCGATTTTTGCTGGAACTCGACGAAGGCGTCTCGAGGCTCGCGAAAGGCTGGGCGCTCGAGAATCGCGGGATACTCAGCGGGCAAGCCAACAAGACGGCGGAGGATTTCCGCAAGTGGGTGAACAGCACCATCATGCTGATGCTGGAGGCGCAACAAACGGAGGACTTCGACCCTTTTCATGGATTGAGAATAAACCTGGTGGAAGGGAAGGAGAACGAGCCGCCAAGGCACCAAATCTCCCTTTCCACGGCAACAGAGTGGCTGAAGAAGATGGGATGCGAATACCACGACGGCAAAAAGGGTCTATACTTCGATGGCCACGACGACGAGAGGACCCTAGCGTACCGGCACGACAAGTTCCTGCCGGCGCGCTGTTCGAGACCCGCGACTACATGGAGGTGTGGATTCCAATGGGCAAAGGGGAAGCGGTCGCCTGGGGCATTGACGTTGATGCAGTGGAGGAGTCTGAGCGCTTGCCGGATTGTGGTGTCTGGGTTGGTGTCGATGATCTCGAGGCAGCGCTAGCAGACTTGCCCGCAGACCTGTAAGCCAGAGTGCAGAGCAAGAAAACCTACCCCGACGGGAGGCGGGCCATGCTTCTCTACCAGGACGAAAACATATTTCGAGGTTAGTCTATTTAATTTAAACAGAGAAAGTTGGCNCGCAGACCTGTAAGCCAGAGTGCAGAGCAAGAAAACCTACCCCGACGGGAGGCGGGCCATGCTTCTCTACCAGGACGAAAACATATTTCGAGGTTAGTCTACTTAATTTAAACAGAGAAAGTTGGCGCGACTGATTTGTAAATTTATTCCGGACGTGAATAGTAATCTTGCACGCAATTCAATATAATTTCGGGGCTGTGACCACAGAGATGTTGACAATGCCACACCCGCCGCCCAAAATTATCGCTGTCCTTTTCGAATTTGCAGCCAACTACGACCAGAGGTACGTGTGGTATCGGGACGGCCAGCACGTGCCCGTCAAGAAGTCGCAAGGCCAGGGGATCATGGTGTCGGGGACGATCATCCACAACCTCGGCTTCTTCTCGGCATCGCGGGAACAGATCAAGGAGGCGGAGCGCAACCGCAGGAAACGATGCGCTGCCTCAGTTGCCGCGAAGCGGCGGGGGGAAAACGTGAAAGTCGAGAAGTTCCGCCCTATCGACATGCTGCACAAAGACGAGCACGGACGGTACTGGTCCTACCACCTCTTCGAGTACGGCAAGAACAAGGAGGGATACTTGACCGGGCTCAAGATGCTAGATCACATGGCAGACGTGCTCGACGTGTTCACAGTTCTCTACCCTGAGCACAAGCCTGTAGGCCTGTTCGACTGGTCGTCCTGTCATGATTGTATGGAGGCCGGCGCACCGTCGGTGAAGAGAATGGACTTGGGTGTCGGTGGTGTGAGGAACGGAGAAGATCTTGCCCCGATGGACCCCGTGATCATCCTCGAAGACACCCCAAACCTCCCAGCGGGCACGATACAGCACTTGACGTTCCGGAGGGGAGACGCCCCCCCTTCGACTCCTCGCATCTCCGGCCGGCTGATTATGTCGGAAAGCTGAAAGGAATGCGGCAGATCTTGTGGGAGAGGGGGCTCAGGCGAAATGCAGGACCTCAGCAAGAGCATGGAGCACGTTCTAGGAGAGCAGAAAGACTNGACTCCTCGCATCTCCGGCCGGCTGATTATGTCGGAAAGCTGAAAGGAATGCGGCAGATCTTGTGGGAGAGGGGGCTCAGGCGAAATGCAGGACCTCAGCAAGAGCATGGAGCACGTTCTAGGAGAGCAGAAAGACTTCAAGGAAGTTGATTTTAGTCTGGTGCTGTTAATGCAGCGCCACAGGGGGGACTGTCTCATGCTTCCTAAGTACCACTGCGAGTGTAACCCCATCGAACTTGTTTGGGGGCGGGCGAAAGACTGGACTCGCAAGAACTGCACATCTTCGTTGGAACTCTTGCGCAATATCGTGCCGCTAAGTTTTAGAGCAGAGAAGGATAGGCAGGCTGTTCCGGTAGTCCAGGGCTACTGCAAAAAGGCATACACACACGCCCTCATGTACCGCGAGACGCGTGTGGAAGGGCCTGAAGGCAAGAAGACGTACAAGAAATACAAGTCACACAGGCGCCAAATCCCGAATGGATTGGAGGCAGTAGATGGATGGCGCATTCTTGTTCGTTGAGGTGAACTTTTTCAGGTTTTTCCCCATGTTTTCTGGAGGGAATGTTGTACAGAAAAAGGATGTTGTTGAAAATAGGCAATATTTACAACGGAAGTACGTTGGCGGGTGATATNAAATCCCGAATGGATTGGAGGCAGTAGATGGATGGCGCATTCTTGTTCGTTGAGGTGAACTTTTTCAGGTTTTTCCCCATGTTTTCTGGAGGGAATGTTGTACAGAAAAAGGATGTTGTTGAAAATAGGCAATATTTACAACGGAAGTACGTTGGCGGGTGATATGAACACGCTATAGGCACGGCAGAGGCATTTGTGAAGTGGTTGGGGGTCTTCCGGTACACGTGTAGGTGGTTTGACGAGAAAAAAAACAATCTGCTGTAAGAAAAATATAGGTGAAACGCTGCTCTAGGGTCTAGGTCGAGGGTTCGAGACCCGCCGCGAGCACTTATTTTTTCTTCTTTTTTCTGGCGACTCGCTACTCTTTTGCGCCTTGCTGCGGGCGTTCCAAACTGTCGGGGGTTTTTTCATTATTCGATCTCAGTCAAAAGTTGTGGAGGGACAACCAAAATCGGGTCCTTGACAATTACCACATTAGTGTCCAAATCTTCATTTTATTGCATGCGGGTACTACTATGTGCAGCAGTAGCACTGCTGTACACACTAGCGTTTACTCCTCTGCTTCGCGTATAAAAAATCAAGCATTATTTCCTCTCTGCTCTCATCGTTCTTATATGTACATATTTCCCCAGAAAATGTCAAGCACGTCGTCGGTGGTTGTGGTGGTGCTTGCGCTGCCCCACCACGCCGTCACCGCTAACCTAAGGACCACAAATATTCTGGATTCTTCTCCGACCGTCGTTCAACATGCCACCAGCGCCACGCCGCCGACGAGACAAGCTAGCGTGAGTATGAGCGAGCGATCGAGCAAGTAGCATAAACACTGCGACGGTTGGTTTGCACTTGCTTCCGAACTGGATTATATCACCACTTGAGCGTGCACGAATTTTATGTCACCAATGGTAAGATGTACAGCATATATATCCACCATGCTGTACATCTTAGCAAAGGCACAACCGGGGTCCTTCAACTTGTTACAGCTGTTGGACCTCGGAAATAACCCCAGGGTTGTAATCCCTGTAATCAGCGATGCCCCATGCGGTTCGTCGACTTACAGGCGGGAAGGTGTGTCTCCGTGTCTTCACTGGGACGACTGGAATGTATACCGTGTCTACGAAGTAGTCTTCGGCGCTTGCATGCATTCCTGAACTCCAAAAACAAAAAATTGAATACAATCTCAACGGTCCCGCGCCCCCCCGTCGGTCCCTCTCCCATCGCTTGGTGTCTATTTACAGCGCCACCTCCGCGACTCGGATGACTCAAGCAGCGGTTCGGACAGCAACGGCTACAGCCCCTGGGAGTTGTACGTCGGGTGCTTCCAAGATGATGAGCAAAGTACGCTGCTTGAGTTTGGGTTTATTTCCGGGGGCTTCAACGTTGAGGTAAGGGATCAAGATATTGAGTCGGGCCCACGACACCTTGATCCTTGTGATTTTCAGTTATTGATTATTTTGTCGTTAGGAAAATGGCGGATTGATTGAATAGGCTCCTCCACAAGTTAGTTGATCGCTCGTGTTAGTAATCTTCTTCGTGGACATACATGATACCTCGACAGGACCGCGCTCGTAGCCTTTCTCCCGTTCATTGATCGTCATGCCGCGTGCCCACAAACGCCGTATTCATTGTCACCATCCTTGTTTTCGCCTTCATTGTCCATCCCCGCCCATCCCTTGCCCACGCAACCAGCGTTGTTTTATGCACTGCACCGACGAGGGAGCGACTTTCCTGGGCCTCAAGTATGGCTTCCAGTGCTCGTGCGACTTTGGGCAAGAAGAAGACTACACGCTGAACGGCCCTGGAGAACGCTTGCGGGTGCTACGGTGACCGCGACGGCAACTGCGGTAAGCCTCGCCCCCCCTCCCGCCCTCCGCCCTCACTTTCCGACCATATCATGGTTGCAGGGATATGTCGATCGAACATGTGTGCAGTAGAGTAGATCTTTTTTCGATTCCGTTTCTTGTGGTGATGCGTGTCCATTGACGACGTGGCCGTCGTTTCATGGCGAAACGTCTATACAACGAGGCCGCCGTACGCGGCACCACCGGTAGCTCTGATCCCTCACCTAATGCCGCGCCAGTGTGTATCACTGTCCATGTCCCGTCTACAAGAAGGCCATCATGGGCGTACCATGTCTTGGATCGATTGCACTCACCGTCCCGTGTACCCGCTCCTCGCGCTACTGCTGTACTGCCGTATCGACACCAGGCGGACAGTGGGCTTTCGACCTGTACTCTCTCGGAGGAGGGGACGACAGCTCGACCTCCGTGACTTCATTACCAACGGCGTCGTCGACCGGCTTTCCGATGCCTACGGGCTTCCCGAACCTGTCGGGCGCGCCCTCGACATCGTTCACGTGGGGCCCGATGGGGGGAATTTATCAGCGCCCACCTCGTCTCCTACTAGCAGCACCATGAACATGACGGACGGTGGGTCCTGGTCCGCACGATCACTCGTTGTTCGTTGTTCACCGGTGCTGTCATTCCGACCTGATCGTGCGTGTGTTGTGGTTGTTTGTCCGCGCTTTACAACAGTAGCAACTCTTCATTCTCTGACGAAAAGGCTACGTTTCATGCACAACCTCTCAACGAAGGCCAGTCTCTATTGTTCACTGTGCGCGTTTTACTCTTTTGCCCACGTGTTGGGTACAGACGACGGAGGGTACTCCATGATGGCCCCGTCCCCGACACCGACGAGGTCGCTGCCGAAGCCGTCGCTAAACATGCCGGTGGGACCCACCCCGACCATGCCCGTGGCACCCCCTACTCCGATGCCCGCGACTCCTCCTACTGCAATGCCGGTGGCACCTCGTACTCCGATGCCCGTGGCACCACGAGCGCCCGCTCCCGTAACTAAGGAGCCTGTGGCACCCCGTACTCCGATGCCCGCGACTCCTCCTACTACGCGATCATTCTGACGTTTTCCCTTCCTTTCCACCCCGCCACCTGTATACGACGTCCTGGTGCGTTCACAACGCGGACCCTCTCACGTGGAGCAGCACGGTGGCATCTTCCGCCGCCGAACACGCCGAGGGGCTCACGGCCCAGTGCTTCTCCAGCCTGTTCCACAGCACTCAAGAACAGCGCTACGGCTACGGCGCGAACCTGTACATACGCTGGGGGTCGGACTCGTGCTACTCGCACAAGAAGGCGACGAAGGGACTATGTAAGTGTTGCTGTGCGCGCTTGCTGGGCCCTTGTCGCTTGACGATGAGCGGTAGCAGTGAGGACATATGCAGTAGGCATGTTATGCACCACACGCGGCGCGCCCTCCTCTTTCTGTGTCGCGGACCTGACAACCCCCTCACGTATGCCCGTATCTCGCCTTCGAAAGCCGCTGGGCAACGATACATATCCTGACCCCCCTCCCCCTTCTCTCCTTCCCCCCAACGTGCGTCAACAGACTACGACGAAGTCCAGTCCGACAGTGTTCTCCAGTACGGTGGTCACGCGACCCAGATCCTGTGGAAGGCTGCGGAGCAAGTTGGATGCGCCGGGGCGCGGTGCACCAACGGCGGAACCCCTCACGCGTTCCTCGTGTGCCAGTACGACCCACCGTAAGTGACGAGATCAGTATTTGTTGCTTGTCCCTCGTCGAAGGAATGAATGTATTCGTGAATTTTGTAGGCATTGTCCTCCAAACTGGGATTCTTTATTGTACAGGAGAATGGATGGACGGATCGGATTGTACGGGGGCATGTCACTCCTGTTTTCGCCGGTCTATGGACAGTGCAGTATCGACTGGCTGGACGTTTTCCGGACGGTCAACGTCACATGTTGTCAGCACGTACCGTACGTTTGCACCTTCCGCGCGATGTGGAACTTGACTGTTTCCCCCTCCTCATTCTGTTTGTTCCATCCTCTGTCCCTAGCTAATTTTTGACCAGGGGCAACTCCGGCGGCCAGTACGAGGAACAAGTGGGCCTTCCCGACTCCAGGAAGTCGTGCTAAGCACGCCCGCTTCCCTGTGTTTCATCCGAATAACTCCTGGCGCCGAGTTGTTATTGACCGTGATGTCGAGCAGTTGATTGGCTGAAGGTCTTAAGAGTCGCCACAAGTCAAGCTCGAAACCTTCCTCCAATGGCAGTTGTCGACGCTAGAGGGGTTGGAGTTGCGGGACCACGATCCGCCTCATTCTTAGATTGATGCGTTACACTGCGTGCTGTGCTTGTAACTGCATGTGGAATGTGGAAGCCTTTTTCAGGTTTTGGTGTTGTCTTTGTGTTTGTACTCTTATTTACTTCGTGTTTGGTTCATTGGGGTCTCCTCCTAGTCTACGATTGTTCACGGTTGTGCGGTAATGTGTTTCCGTGTGTGTTCCGTCGTTCTAATTCTTATCTTGTTTTCTCGTGCCGACACTCACTTGTTGTACAGACGTATCTATTGTTCTTTGTAGTCAGAGTGTTTCCACACTACATACCACACGACATTCTACTCGTGGACAGTATCATGAGCCAGTGCAACTACCGTACAGAATCTGAATTTTCCAAAAGTCAGTAAATACAGCTATCACTTCACATAGCTGTGCACGGCAGAGCAGTGAGCAGTCATCAGACAGCTCGATCTGCCTCGATTGCGACACCGTTGATCTGGTGTCCATCAGCACGATACGCGAACACAAAGGCAATTCCTTGTCGGAATCATGGCATTTATTTTCTTTTTCAAGAGGGTGGTGGGAAGAACCCAACGGGTGTTTTTTTTTTTGTGGACTCCGAAATCGAAGCCACTGTATTTTGTTTTTTTTTTGTCGGGTGCATCGCCATCAGCAGCACTCCGCAAGACTTGCACTGCACACCTACTTGCAGCCTGCAACACTCATCCGCTCAATACGTGCCAGACAAAATATCCTCCTTACAACACACGTTACCACAAAGACACAGACTCGGTGCTGTCAGTTGCAGCTACACATCGCAGGCAGGACTGCAGACAACAACACGCACGTACGCCTTACCGCTAGGTAGGGCAAAGTGTCAGCAACGCTTCTGTATCTGCACTACTCCTCTTCCGCGTGCCCCCTTTCGCCTGCAACGCAACTATTTCTATTGTTGAAAGCAGCCTTCGATGATTACAAACACACGGACTCCGAACAGGGCGGCGAAGCTCAAGCAGGAAACGACTAACAACTAACGGCTGCGGGGTGTCTACCGTCACTCACGACACCGCCAGACACCAACAGCGCTCACATAAAAACGAATGAAAGCATCAACTTCGTCACTTTTGGCCATGACGAGGCTCACCCTGTTAAAACCTCTCTCCGCAGGAATGGGACTGCAACACACACCGCAATATATCATTGCTGTTTTTGCAACGCCAGACCAAAAGGAATCAAGCGTCTGACTGCCAACAGAGACCATTTACGTCTGCTACCTGCGACGACAGCACAACAGTTAATTGCCACCGCACAGCAAAATACACGGAGGGCAGCCATATAGACTACACGACAGGGGGCAGAAATCTCCACTAACAACTGGTCGCGCACACACACAAACGTTGGGTACCTTGATCTCGCTCTTACTGTTGCTTTTGTTTTTTTTTGTACATCTGGCTGTCTGCCCATCGGCCGCCTCTTTGTCCTGTTTGCTCCGTTACTCCCATGCACTGGTGCGTAATGCCTGGTGCTGGTACGTTACCCTTAGATATTTTCTTTAGGCGGGTGTGGGGAGCGTCCTCCTTTGTGGTTGTTTTTGTTTAATTTTGATCGGTTTCCGAAGGCTCTTTTCTCGAACGGTCCGTGCGGTACCTGTTATTTCCTTTTTATCATTTTGTTTTCTTTTTCCGAGTGGTTTGAACCCTATTTTTGTTTTGTTTCCCCGCGGCGTCGTGCCGGGTTTTGAGACCACGGGCTCCCCATTTAAAGTGGACTAGAGCTAATGTGAGAAACAACAACAACAACAATATAATCAATGCAAAACTCTTCAAACACACACAATGTACTACACTACGGATGCATGAGCGCAGAGGCCTTCTAGAACGTACCGTACCACGCACAGGTGTATACCGGAAGGTGCACGTCCTTTGTCCCTCGTATCGGTTTTCCCGAGGGAGGCTTCTGCCCAACTGCAAATAAACAATCCAAATATTCAAAGCACGCCAAAATCAGGCGTAACTCTGCCGTCTCTCGTTCTTCCACCGAAGAACTGCTTTTTGCTCTAGGTTAATGCTGCCTCGTCGTAGCTTTCTGTCCAGCAGCAACATACCGTTCAACCAGCCGTAGATCACGGTGCTTGTTCTTTTCAGTAGGCCTGCATCGGCATCATCAGCGGGGGGGCGGGGCTTTCGTGACAGGGGTTAACGTGACAAGGGTCCGCCGCCATTCTTTCGTGCTGCTGCAGGTGCTGGTGCTGGTGCTCGTGCTGATGCCGCCGGGGGTGGAAGTCGTCACCGAAGTCCTCGCACCGCATTCCGCCCCGCATGCCCGGCGGGCCGAGGGGCGGGCCGTGCAGTCGCTGGTGGTGTAGACCGACGGGGCTGCGGTGGTGGTGCCGTCCTGCCCTGAGAGGAACGGGGCCATGGCCCATGTCCATACCGGCGGCGTCTCCGTCGCCGTCCAGGTGGTGCATGCCATGGTGTTCCGGGTGGCGACAAGCCGGGCATGCGGGGCGGAATGCGCAGTCGCTGGTGTAGACCGACGGGGCTGCGGTGGTGGTGCCGTCCTGCCCTGAGAGGAACGGGGCCATGGCCCATGTCCATACCGGCGGCGTCTCCGTCGCCGTCCAGGTGGTGCATGCCATGGTGTTCCGGGTGGCGACAAGCCGGGCATGCGGGGCGGAATGCGCAGTCGCTGGTGTAGACCGACGGGGCTGCGGTGGTGGTGCCGTCCTGCCCTGAGAGGAACGGGGCCATGGCCCATGTCCATACCGGCGGCGTCTCCGTCGCCGTCCAGGTGGTGCATGCCATGGTGTTCCGGGTGGCGACAAGCCGGGCATGCGGGGCGGAATGCGCAGTCGCTGGTGTAGACCGACGGGGCTGCGGTGGTGGTGCCGTCCTGCCCTGAGAGGAACGGGGCCATGGCCCATGTCCATACCGGCGGCGTCTCCGTCGCCGTCCAGGTGGTGCATGCCATGGTGTTCCGGGTGGCGACAAGCCGGGCATGCGGGGCGGAATGCGCAGTCGCTGGTGTAGACCGACGGGGCTGCGGTGGTGGTGCCGTCCTGCCCTGAGAGGAACGGGGCCATGGCCCATGTCCATACCGGCGGCGTCTCCGTCGCCGTCCAGGTGGTGCATGCCATGGTGTTCCGGGTGGCGACAAGGGTGGGCGCGGTGACCTGGGTCCATGTGCATTCCAGCGCCACGCTCTCGTTCACTCCCGCTGCTGTGTATGCCCTCGCCGTGGAAGCTACGACCTCCGTGGAAGGGGTGAATTTGGCGGTCGTGCATGGGCATCCCGTGGCGACGAGGGCCGCTTTGTTGTCCGCGTAGCTGCTGGGGGGGTACATTCCGTGGGGAGGGCCACGCGGCCCGGCATGCATCATCGCTATTTCATATTCTCCTTCGCACTCACCGCCCCCGTGGTGGTAGTGGTGGTGGTGGCCGGGTCCGCGGTGGTAGTGGCCGGGTCCGTGGTGCACCGGTCCGCGGGGCGGTCCGTAGGTAGGGCTTGACGAGCGGCGGTGATCACCGTGGGCAGGACGCCTGCCGTGGCCGTGGTCGTGGCGGTGCGCGGAGGGCCATGCGGAGTGGTTGGCAAGCCGAATGCCCGCCAGCCCCAGCGATTCCTCCGTCACCGTGGCAGGTGGTAGGTCTTCCAGAGTGTCCTTCAGCACGTGGAGCCATTTCTGGCGTTTAGCGAAGCAAGAGCAGGCATAGATCAAGAATCGGGTGTACGCAATGCCGGAAGAAACAACACACACACACACGCTTTCTTTCTTTGATCCGGAGGGGGGCCGCGAGGCCTACCCATGCCTCCACCGCCGCGGTGGTGGTGGTGCCCATGACCTCCAGGGTGACCGAGCTGCTGGTGAGGAGAACCACCCCGCCTGCCTCCGGGCCTCGACCACCGAAGCTCTTCCCGCTGAACGAGCCCGAGCTTGACTAGGCGGTGAGGTCCTACGCCGAGGGCACGGAGCAACGGCCTGGTTTCGCGGGGCCTGAGCTGGACGCCTGCAGCAACAAAGACCCCGTGGATGGGGTGCTTGCTGGCCTCGGTCTCGATGCCAATGCTGTACTGGGTGGCAACGTGGTCGTGCTCGGTGTCGGTGCCGTCGCTGCTGTTTCTGTTCGAGTCGTCCGAGACCCGGTTGTTGTCCGCTTGCCCTGACTTCGGATCCGCTGCTGCTGCTGCTGCTGTCGGTATCGTCTGATCGATAATTCGGGTGGCTCAGTTGTGTGTGATGGGAGTGTAGAGCAGCTCGGCCATGACGGGCCGTAGGGGTAGGTAAAGTCGTGCAGACGTGTTGGAAAACGTGTTGTAAACGCGTTGTATTCATCGGGGGCGTGCTTGAGCTCGTCATTCCATCACG